CCACCTTGCCTGTGTCTGCCGATCCAGAGGGACCCTCCGACAGCCCACCGCTCACCAGGAATCCACAGACTTTCACAGCATCCACCAATTCCAGGTACTGAATTTGCCCTGGGCCACCCCTAACAAAATACATGTGACTGTTTTGACTGCTCTGCACGAAACACACCCCGGGATTGTGCACATGAAAGCCTTGGCCCGGAGCTATGTCTGATGGCCGGGAATGAATTGTGAAATAGAGGACTGGGTAAAACGCTGCCAGACGTGCCAAGAGTCCAGACTGGAGCCCTCTAGAGCCCCGGTACGTCCATGGGAGTCCTCCCATAAGCTGTGGGCCTGTCTACATTTGAACTTCGCCAGCCCCTTCCAGGGGCAAATCTTCTTCATATTGGTGGACTCCTACACCAAGTGGCTGGAAGTGGTCCCGGTCCCCTCCACCTCATCTTGCTCCACCATTCGTGCAATGTGGTGGATTTTCAGCATGCACGGCATCCTGGACACCTTGGTAATGGACAACGGGATGGCCTTCACTTCCGGGGAGTTCCAGGAGTTCTTTAATTACTATGGCATTCGGCATGTCCGTTCCATGCCTTTCCATCTCGCAACCAACGGTCAGGACGAACGCATGGTCCAAACAGTGAAGGAGTCTCTGCGCTGAATGGGGCTGGGCGACTGGGACCACCAGCTCACCGCCTTCCTCTTCAACCAATGAATAACTCCCCACACAGCCACCGGGCACAGCCCCGCCGACTTCCTCATGGGAAGGCACCTCATGACCAGGTTGGACCGGCTTCACCCCGACAGCCCAGCACCAGATGGCCAAGAAGCTCCCCGCAGGTTCTTTCCAGGTGACCCTGTCTACGCCAAGAACTTCTTGTGGGGCCGAACATGGATTCCAGCCAGGGTGGTACGAGTCACAGGATCCCTGTCTTACGAAGTCTCCGCAGAGTACAGGCAGCTGCTGAGGAGATGCATTGACTATCTACGACACTGGCTCCTCCCCATGGATCCGGTAGTGGCCAAAGACAGCGAGGACAAGTTTACAAGCCCGGAGCCCAGAAACTCAGAAGACAACTCGCCCCCCACTCAAGCACAACCAAGGGCAAGCGCACCACCCGCAGAGGACGGTGGCGAGGCCTTGGTACTGGACAGCACACCCGAGCCCCGGGGCAAGCAGGTGCCAGCACATCCCCCTGACACGGCAGCAGCACCATCTGGAACAGCTCTGGAGCTGACAAGCCCGACAACCGGATTGTGCCGCTCGACCTGAGAGCGGCGGAGACCAGCCTACCTCAAGGACTATGTTAGGGTACTTCTGAACCTTGGGGGAGGGGTGTTATGTATTAACCACGGACTGCACACGTGGTGGGGTTTGCATGTGGGCATGCACTAGGGCTAAGTTTTGCTCAAAAGACAATAGCCGGCTTGGATCCTAGAACGGACCAATCGGCCACCCCGGATCTGGGAGTGGACCTATGGGTGTTAGTACACTGTAAATAGCCTATCACGGGTTGTGTGTGTGGGTGGGTGGGATGTGGCATGTTTGGGGATTTAAGCAGGGCTCCGTCCCTGCTACTTTGTCTTTTAGTTTGGAGTTGAAATAAATTATGATGTGATTCACTACAATGCGTCTGGACCCAGTACTTTACACACTGTAATGATAGAACTGTTTATTTATAAGTATCCTGTTGATTTTAGTGCAACAGCTTTTCACAGAGTGCCTAGCATGTTACTGTAAAGTCTACTGCAAACGGCATTTCCTACAATCATCATAGGATGAAGAAAAACATGTAGATTAAGCACACAAACACTTGCATATCTTCACCCCTAAACTGACCACACTTTCTTTAATATTTAAAGAAAGTGTGGTCAGTGTTAGGGGTGAAAATGTGCAAGTATTTGTGTGCACAGGGAAAATGCCCTCTGTAAAGCAGCTATTGAACTACACCGTTTCCTGACTCACCAGTTGGTACATAAAAATATCTTCCAAGGAGAAAGGATAATTTGAATCTTGTAGTTATCTGTTCACTTTATTCTCACACTTATTTTACTTTTATTTATGCATCCTCATCCCGACCTCTACTGAACTGTTATGTATTGGGATTGAATCATCCCTGATTGAATCACCCCAGAAACTGGCTGAGTTTGGGGCACAAGAACAATAGCCTGTCAGGATTCTGAAAGTAACCAATCTAGGATTAATGTTATGTAAATCGCCTATAATTGGAAGTGGGGTGTCTTTGGGTGTGGCAATTGCATGCTATTTAACAGACCTGAGGCTCTGGAGTCTTGTCTTGCTGTTGCTGAAATCACTTATAAAGTTAAGCTGATCATTAGACTCGAGCCTGCTCATCCGTGGAACCCACTATTTAACATGAACCATCATTTAAAGGAACAAAAAAAACCCCCGCATGCCTAGAAATGGAGATGAAAGACAGTGTGGAGGCAGGGTCTCCTGGGAAATACAGTATCAGAAGCACATAGGTGAATGGACAGAGAGAAAGACTGAGGACTAAAAAAAATGCATTTCCTGTCATGCATGACGACAATGATCTATGTTAAATCACGGTGGCTCCACTTCCCCCCCCCCATCCTCATACCCAGCTCTGCTCCCCACCCCGGCTCCATTCCCTCCATTACTAGTTGTAATGTTATGTAAAAAGCCTATCACTGGGAGTGGGGTGTATTTGGGTGTGGCAATTGCCTGCAATTTAACAGAGCTGAGACTCTGGAGTCTTGGCTTGTGCTTCCTGAAATCACTAATAAAGTAGCACTGGTCACTAGGCTTGTGGTCTGTTCATCCATGGAACCCACTATTTAACAATGTCCTTAAGTAGAAGCCCATTTGTAATCATATATTGACCCAAACTATCCAGTATCTAAATAGGAGATGGTTTGTTTTGTTTAATGTATGATTAAAAGGAGCCAGTGCTTTGTGAAGACAGAAAAAGCTCTATTTCTGTTTTTGTTTTATTTTGGCCCCGTTCATACGAGGCAGTTTGGGCCAGGAGCGGGCCGGATTGGAAGTGCATCAAACGGGCGTGATCCCACGCCAACATCTGGCTGGCGTCGCGCTCCCGCCTTCAATCCGGCCCTTCCCCCGATGAAGCGTGTCAAAGATGAACGACCTACCTTCGGTGGTTCATCCGGTTGGTCCGCTTCATCCTGGCCATGGGATCGGCGGCGCGTCTTGCCGCCGTCGCATCCCCGGCCCCCTGCCATACTGCGCATGCTCGAGCATGCACAGTTCGGCAGCCTCCCCCTCCGACTTGTAGCTTCCTCCCCGGCATCTTGATCGTGCCGGGGAGCAACGAAGCGCGGCTACTGGGATCCCTGGGATCCCGCCGCGGCGTTTCTTTTTTGGTGCGGCTTTTAAAAGCCGCGCTTCACCCCGTCTTTTCCCTGCCGTGTGGCAGGGGCCTTTGTTTGCTTTAGTAAAAGTGTAGTTTGTCTCCCTCAGGATACACAGCTTGACGTAGTAAGGAGTTTGAACAACAGTTGCTGACTAGTCTAACATCCAAATAGAATCCCTTGGAGTTTTAGGAGAATCATGATTTGTAGGGATAAACATGGTGGTATTTGAATCAGATGAAAAGATCTGAGAGCCCCTGGCCTGGCCTGTTTCTCTTCTTGCTATTATCCTGGGGTTTCCTCCTTTGGAACTGGGAAGGAAGGAAAAGCAAAAGTACTACTTCTTCCAAAACTTAGTGAAATTTCATTGTTCTTTACCAAGACTTATTCTTCCTAAAGCACCCAAACAATTACTCCCTTTCACGAATGGATCTGATCTGTGCACCAGCACGCTTGGGGTTTTTTTTTCCCTTCGAGGCTTAGTGTTTAATTCTCCATCATCAGACCTTAAGGGTGCCCAGGGCTTTTTTTGTAGAAAAAGCCCAACAGGAACTCATTAGCATAATAGGCCATACCCAATAGCAGAAACTCATTAGCATGTTAGGCCACACCCCCATGTTTTCCCTTGGCTTTCCCGGGCGCCCGCGGCTGCGGGGAACCTGGGCAAGCCCTCCCTTGAAGGAAAGGGAAGGCAGTTTAAACTGCCTTCCCTTGGCTTGCCCGGGTGCTCCGTGGCTACGGGGAGCCTGGGCAAGCTGGCCCTTGGACAGGCCGGGGAAGGCACTGGGAGGCATTTAAATGGGGGGGTGGGTCGCTTTCCAGGCCTTCCCTCTGCAGCCACACATGCAGAGGTTTTGGCTGTAGTGGGCGTGGCCAGCTCTAAAGCCAGCCGGAACTCCGTTCCTGTGCGTTCCTGCCCAAAAATAGCCCTGAGGGTGCCTAATTAGCCGCAGGTAGAGTCAGTTTGGTGTAGTGGTTAAGAGCATGGACTCTAATCTGGGAAAACCAGGTTTCATTCCCCACTTCTCCACATGCAGCTGCTGGTGTGACCTTGGGTCAGTCATAAGTTCTTTCAGAGCCGGTCTCTCAAGGGCAGTACTTGAGAGAGCTCTCTCAGCCCCATCTACCTCACAGGGTGTCTGTTGTGGGGAGGGGAAGGGAAAGGGATTGTAAGCCACTCTAAGACTCCTTAGGGTAGAATCCTATACAGGTCTGCACAGAATCTGTTAAAGGTCTGCTAAAATTGACTCAGTGGGGCTTACTCCCAGAAAGGCATCCTTAGGATTGAGCTGTTAGTGATCCTTAGCACAGTTATGCACAGTTGGCCCAGTTCTGTTTTTAGCATCTCCAAGTACAGAGGGAGACTGGGAAAGACTGCTTAGGAGCCAAAATGCAGCTACCAGTTAGAGCAGGGCACGGGGTGGCTTCTTTTAATTTGATCATATGGCCACTGGCTTGTGGCATGCAGGTAGAAGTAGATTTTTTTACATACTTTTGCAAACAGAAAAGCTACCATGTGGCTAAATGTCCCTAGCTTGCTCCTGGGTTTTTTTCAAGGTAACAGAATACTTCCCTGACAATCGAGCTTCCAGATTTTTCGACATCTACTGCATCAATAACATGTCCTGACACACATGTCTCCTCTTGTACAGAATCAAGTGAACATGAAGAGAAAAGTGCAGGGACCTCAGGTGAACCTTCAACTCAGCCTTATCCTGCACCTGTATACAGTCAACCGGAAGAAGTAAAGGAAGATATGGATGTAACAAAGCCACCAAAACCAGAAGAAAATGATGAATTAGGCTCTTTGCCTGACAATTGGGAAATGGCTTACACAGAGAAGGGGGAAGTCTACTTTATTGAGTAAGTACCACACATTTGAAATAACAAGCATCTTGTTTCAGTATGATCTAAGGATGGTTCATAAGGATTCTGAGCCAATTTGGTGTAATCATGAATAATAGGAAAATGATTGATGGCACGAGCTGGCTATTAACCATCTTCTTAATGGGCACAGCTGAATGGGGAGCTGTCCTACATAAGTCTTATTAAAATGAATAGAAAGGAACCAAGGAGCACTTCTAGGGTTGCCAACCTCCAGGTGGAGCCTGGAGATCTTCAAGAATTACAACTAACCTCTAGATCATAGAGGTCAGTTCCTCTGCAGAAAAGAGTACTTTGAAGGGTAGACTCTATGGCATTAGTCTTTCTTGCCTTTCTAATAAGGGAGGTCCATATTATTTGGACTCCAGAGGGCTAAGTGGGATTTCATGCTGTGGAGGTTCTATTAAGTTGCTTCTTTGTTTATGAATCAGTTTGTATAATGCTATAAAAAGACCCCTTTTGTTTTAGAGGCAGAAGGAAGAAATAAAAAACCATTTGTTCAACACCATCTCCCTGAAGGAGCCATAACAAGTCAATCAGATTCTTAAAAATTAATGAAAAATGGATACTGTAATATATAAATTACACTGGAATATAAACAAATTACCTGCCTATGTTGGATCAGGCCAAAGGCCCATCCAGTCCAACACTCTGTGTCACACAGTGGCCAGAAATACCAGGTGCCATCAGGAGGTCCACCAGTGGGGCCAGGAAATTAGAAGCCCTCCCACTGTTGACCCCTCCCCCCAAACACTAAGAAGACAGAGCATCACTTGCCCCAGAGCCCCTTTCTATACCTTGTGGCTAATAGCCACTGATGGACCTCTGCTCCATTTTGTTGTTGTTCAGTCGCACAGTCGAGTCCGACTCTTCGCGACCCCATGGACCATCTCCCGCCAGGCCCTCCTGTCTTCCGCAGTCCTCCGAAGTTGGCTCAATTTCATGTTCGTTGCATCGATGACACTGTCTAACCATCTCATCCTTTGCCGTCCCCGTCTTCTTTGACCTTCAATCTTTCCCAGCATCAGGGTCTTCTCCAGTGAGTGCTCCCTTCTCATTTGGTGGCCAAAGTATTTGAGCTTCAGTTTCATTATCTGGCCTTCCAGGGAACAGTCAGGGTTGATTTCTTTGAGGATTGACTGATTTGTTCTTCTTGCAGTCCAAGGGACTCTCAAGAGTCTTCTCCAGCACCATAGTTCAAAAGAATCTATTCTTCGGCGCTCGGCCTTCCTTATCGTCCAACTCTCGCAGCCATACATGACTACTGGGAATACCATTGCTTTGACCATACGGACTTTTGTTGGCAGGGTGATGTCTCTACTTTTTATCATGCTGTTTAGGTTCGCCATCGCTTTCCTCCCAAGGAGCAGGCGTCTTTTAATTTCATGACTGCTGTCACAGTCTGCGGTGATCTGGGATCCCAGGAACGTGAAGTCTGTCACCACTTCCACAACTTCCCCTTCTATTTGCCAAGGAATGATGGGGCCGGATGCCATGATCTTAGTTTTTTTGATGTTGAGCTTCAAGCCCACTTTTGCGCTCTCCTCTTTTACTCTGAGCAAGAGGCTCTTTAGATCCTTTTCACTTTCAGCCATTAGAGTGGTATCATCTGCATATCTGAGGTTGTTGATCTTTTCCCCAGCAATCTTAATTCCCGCTTGTGATTCATCCAGGCCAGCATTTCGCATGATGTACTCTGCATATATATTAAATAAGCAAGGTGACAGTATACATCCTTGTCGTACTCCTTTTCCTATGCTGAACCAATCAGTTGTTCCGTATCCGGTTCTAACTGTCGCTTCTTGGCCCTTATACAGGTTTCTCAAGAGACATGTGAGGTGGTCTGGTACTCCCATCTCTTTAAGGACCTGCCATAGTTTGTTGTGATCCACACAGTCAAAAGCTTTAGCATAGTCAATGAAGCAGAAGTAGATATTTTTCTGGTACTCTCTTGCTTTCTCCATAATCCAGCGAATGTTGGCAATTTGATCTCTAGTTCCTCTACCTCTTCGAAACCCAGCTTGTACTTCTGGTAGTTCTCTATCCACGTACTGTTGAAGCCTAGCTTGTAGGATCTTGAGCATGACCTTGCTAGCGTGTGATATGAGTGCAATTGTGCGATAGTTTGAACATTCCTTGGCATTGCCCTTCTTTGGGATTGGAATGTATACTGATCTTTTCCAATCCTGTGGCCACTGTTGCGTTTTCCAAATTTGCTGGCAAATGGAGTGCAGCACTTTAACAGCATCATCTTCTAAGACTTTGAATAGCTCAGCTGGAATACCATCACCTCCACTAGCTTTGTTGTTAGCAATGCTTTCTAAGGCCCATTTAACTTCACATTCCAGGATGTCTGGCTCAAGGTCAGTGATTATACCGTCGTGTTTGTCAAGGACATTGAGGTCTTTCTTGTATAGTTCTTCTGTGTATTCTTGCCATCTTTTCCTAATCTCTTCTGCTTCTGTTAGGTCCCTACCGTTTTTGTCCTTTATCATGGCCAGCTTTGCATGGAACGCTCCCTTGATTTCTCCAATTTTCTTGAAGAGATCTCTAGTCCTTCCCATTCTATTGTTTTCTTCTATTACTTTGCACTGTTCATTCAGGAAGGCCTCCTTATCTCTCCTTGCTGTTCTCTGGAAATCTGCGTTCAGTTGGGTAAATCTTTCCTTTTCGCCTTTGCCTTTCGCTTTCCTTCTTTCCTCTGCTATTTGTAAAGCCTCATCAGAAAGCCACTTTGCTTTCTTACATTTCTTTTTCTTTGGGATGGTGGTGATTGCTGCCTCCTGTACGATGTCACGAACCTCTGTCCATAGTTCTTCAGGCACTCTATCTATCAAATCCAGACCCTTGAATCTATTCTTCACCTCTACTGTATATTCATCAGGGATGCGATCTAGGTCAAACCTGAATGGCCTCGTGGTTTTCCCAATTTTCTTCAGTTTAAGTCTGAATTTTGCAATGAGTAGCTCATGATCTGAACCACAGTCAGCTCCAGGTCTTGTTTTTACTGACTGGATAGAGCTTCTCCATCTTTGACTGCAAATTATATAGTCAATCTGATTTCGGTGTTGCCCATCTGGTGATGTCCATGTGTAGAGTCGCCTCTTAGGTTGTTGGAAAAGGGTGTTCGCTATGACCAGTGTGTTCTCTTGACAAAACTCTGTTAACCTTTGCCCTGCTTCATTTTGCTTTCCAAGGCCAAACTTGTCTGTTATTCCAGTTACCTTTTGACTTCCTACTTTAGCATTCCAGTCCCCTATGATGATGAGGACATCATTTTTTGGTGTTAGTTCTAGGAGGTGTTGTAGGTCTTCATAGAGCCAATGTTGGATCAGGCCAAAGGCCCATCCAGTCCAACACTCTGTATCCCACAGTGGCCAGAAATACCAGTGCCATCAGGAGGTCCACCAGTGGGGCCAGGACATTAGAAGCCCTCCTACTGTTGACCCCCCCCCCCAAGCACCAAGATGACAGAGCATCACTTGCCCCAGAGTCCCTATCTATACCTTGTGGCTAATAGCCACTGATGGACTCTGCTCCATATGCTTATCTAATTCCCTTTTGAAGCCATCCATGCTTGTAGCCGCCACCCCTTCCTGTGGCAGTGAATTCCATGTGTTAATCACTCTTTGGGTGAAGAAGTACTTCCTTTTATCTGTTCTAACCTGACCGCTCAGCAGTTTCATGGAGTGCCCACGAGTTCTTGTATTGTGAGAAAGGGAGAAAAGTACCTCTTTCTCTACTTGCTCTTTCCCATGCATAATCTTATAAACCTCGATCATGTCACCCCTCAGTCGTCGTTTCTCCAAGCTAAAGAGCCCTAAGCGCTTTAACCTTTCCTCATAGGGAAAGTGTTCCAACCCTTTTATCATTCGAGTTGCCTTTTTCTGCACTTTTTCCAAAGCTATAATATCCTTTTTAAGGTGTGGTGACCAGAACTGCACACAGTATTCCAAATGAGGTCTCACCATTGATTTATATAGGGGCATTATGATATTGGCTGATCTGTTTTCAATACCCTTCCTAATAATCCCCAGCATAGCATTGGCCTTCTTTATTGCAGTCACACACTGTCTCGACATTTTCAGTGAGTTATCTACTACAACTCCAAGATCTCTCTCTTGATCAGTCTCTGCCAGTTCAGACCCCATCAACGTGTATTTATAGTTAGGATTTACACATTGATGGGGTCTGAACTGGCAGAGAACTGGCATATTACAATGCCATTTGAAGCTTCTGTATATTGCTCCTTTTCACCTCATATTGAAAGTGCCTTTTTGTTTAAGGAGAATATTTGAAGGGGAGGGTGATACTCGCCCTTTATAGAATCCCTCAGAAAATTGCATGTTGTCATTGGATTTCCTGCCATTTTTTTAATTGACTGGAGTTTTGGTTTATACTCCTGGCCACCGTCCACTATTCAGGGCTTTTCCATGTGTTTTGTCTGTCAGTTCTTGGCTTCACGCTGCTTCAGTTTATCCCCTGATTTCTGCACACATTTTTGTGCCTTTAGTTTTCACTTCATTGTTTTGTTTTCCCCCCAGGTACCCCCCCATTTCTTTTGAAACCACTTTTACACCAACCTTTTCTTGGAAGCTGATTTTGAGTTGGCTTTTTCTTCATGATAAATATTTCTATCAGTTTTCTTGGTCCCACCTATTCAGAGTTTGGCCTGTCACAGAAGCATGATACTGAGTGCAGTAAATAAATCTTTCAAGAAGTATATTGCAACACAGTGATCTGACATGTATTCAAGTAGATCCAGTTCACATTCAGGTTGTAGTCGAAAGAAAAGAAAGAAACCTAATCTAAAGAATATTTTCCCTATCACAAATAGACAGCTAATCCAGCATCATGTATGTGGGGGTATGAGGGCATTGTATCTACAGGAGAGACCTGAAGAAACATGTGTTTCCATGGAAGGCCATGTGTAGAGTGCGAGAG